GGAAGTTGCACCTGAACCTGAGGAAGAACTACTTTCCTGTGCAGGTGACAGGTTGCTCAGAAAGGATRTGGAGTCTCCCTCACTGTAATTATTCCAGAACCCTCTGTGCATAATCCTGTGCCATGTGCTTTGGGATGACCCTGCTTGAGCAGGGAAGTGGGACCAGATGACSTAATGTGRTCCCTTCCAACCTGACCCACCCTGATTGTGATTCAGTGATACCCATTAGGAGCCATGAGATGGCAAATGCTCAGTCATTCCCCACCTGCACAGCAAGGTGCTCTTAAACTTCCCCACACATGTCGGGAAGAACTCCAAGTAAAAGGTCTGCTTCTCGCCAGGAGCAATGGTGCCTTGGTCGGGGTAGATGGAAAACAGTGGTATGTCATCGCTGACATCTGGGAAGACTTCCAGGGAGGTCCTGTCACTCTCCTGAGAAAGGCGCCTTTTCTTGGCACGGTACCGCTTCTTGGAACAGGTCGGCTCCTCGGGCTCCTGCTGTTCCTCCTCGGAAGTCTGCTGTTCCTCCTCGGAAGTCTGCTGCTCCTCCTCTTCATAAATCTGCTGCTCCTCCTCTTTGTAAATCTGCTGCTGCTCCTCTTCGGAATCTGGTTCATCCTCCTCTGTCTCGGAATCCACCTGCTGCTGCTGCTGCTGCTGCGGCTGCTGCTGCTGCTGCTGCTGCTCCTCCTCCTCTTCCTCTTCCTCTTCCTCCTCCTCCTCCTCCTCCTCCTCTTTCTCCTTCTCCTTCTCAGCTTTCAGCAGCAGCTCCTTCATGCACTCCTCGTACCCCTCGTCCCCTTCATCCTCCTCCTCCTCGGCAGTCTGCTGCTGCTGCTCAGGCTGCTTTTCCTTCTCCAACAGCCACGCCGCGGGTTCCTGCGATGTCTGCACGTTCGGCTGGTCACCCCTCTTGATCTTCAGGAAGTCATGAAGCAGTTTTTCAATACGCTTAACCTTTGCTTCACGCACTTGCTTCTTCTTCATCCTCTTCTCCAGCTGCCTCCGCTGGAAATCTAAAAGGTCCTGCTCGTAACGCTGCTGCTCCTCTTCGCGCCGCCGCTGCTCCGCTATAATCTGGTGTGTCAGCGCAAAGACGTGCCATTTCATGTGGGGGTGCAGGCGCAGCAGCTTCTTGTAAATCGGTGGCTTGGCAGGTGGCTCCTCCTCCTCAGACGACCTGTCCAGTTCCTCGTCAGGAGGCCGCTGTTTGGGATATATCATATAATAAAAGAGGTCCCAGTCCTCAAACGTCTCGATATTCTTGTCCGGCTCCCGCCCCTCCATGGAATGCACCATCCCCTCCATGAGGCTCCAGTCAAGAGTATGCTGCTTCTCGGGATCCTCCTCCTTGTCCTGATCCGCCTTGAAGTGCACCATGTCATATAAGATGGGCTTGAAAATAGCCACTACTGCCTTCTTCTGCTCCTCCTTTTGCTGCCGCTTCCGCTCCCGYTCCAGCTCCTTCTCGGTAAGCTTCCGTATCCTCACCCTGTGCGGCTTCACCCAAGGAAGCCTCGCCTTCCGTGTCCTGAAAAACTCTGCCACATCCTGCAAAAATAACTGCCCTGCTTCCTCGTCGTCAGAAGGTGGCGGTGATGGAAAGTCTGTGAGATCACAYRTCTCCTGCACCTCCTTGGAAGGCTCCTGTTTCACCTTGGAACGCTTCTTCTTGAAACACTTTTTCTTCTTCTTAGGAAACCATTTCTCCTCCTTGTAAAAATCCTGCTCCTCCT